TGGCCATTCCTTTAGGCAGGGCTAACCCTAATGAAAGAAAATCATCTCTAGTTCTGGTGTAGAGTAAATTCCAAGGCCAGTGTACAGACTCAGGATTTAAATCACCCACGAGGACTTCTGCACTTGGCAGTTTACTCTTGCACTGTTTCTGAGGCACCTTGAGACCATTCAAGTATCATTTGGTGAATTACTCCTTCGGGGCATTAACTGAGGGACTTTGATCTCTCTGTTTTAATCTGTAATTTTTGTATGCAAATTTCAAACCTTAAAAGACAGTTTTCCAGGATGGCATCCAAGAGATCTTATAGCCTGAGGATACTAAAACTATTTCTTGGGAGAAGGATGCCACTAGAGATAAATCTCCAAGTGTGTTTCTCGGTTATGCTCTGGCTACAGGTTTTATGATCAACCCAGGCTGTTATGAAGAGACCTAAAAATCAATGCCTCCCATTCCTAATGAGACCCTTAACGCTCGACGCGATGACAGCCAGTGTGAAACGGAATACTGACAACTCTACACAGCACAAATATTTTTGCTATGCATTTCAATTTAAACATGTGTCAAGCCAATTACGTATTTATAGGGTTTAAAGACTATTCCACTCAAGCCTGGGAGAATACACACTCTTCAAATCTCTGTTTCGTGTAAGAGGACTCGGGTACAATAGTCAAACCTCTCGCAGGTCTGTAATAAATCATCTTTGCAACCATAAGCATGTACAGTTGACTGCTTACCACTGCTCCACAGACCCCACCCCCACCTGGTAGAATTTTAATTCCCTCAGTAAAATTGATTTCACCAGTTCTGCACATTATTCTCCCTGTCTTCCATTTAGCCCGTTAGTTTGCTGACAGTAGAGTACACAGCACTTAGCAGCTGGTTTGTGGAGCCATCAGTCAGGAAATTGTATGATAAATAGGAGGTAGCCAGGTTTCGTGGCACTTCCTTCTGCTTCAGCAGTTTTTGCCTGACTTTGGAGAAGTCATCATGTGGTGTTTTGTCAAGGGCCGGGGCAGGAGATGGCTGCGGCACAGTAACTTATTACACATACGCTTGAGTTATGATGCGTCACAGCTGCGCTGCTCATGTGTAAATAATAACCCGTGAGCTGGGTAATTATGGCGGCTCTGGCGACAAGGGCCTGTTCTCGTCATGTGGGTTTTCTTGGACAGCATTTTGGGCCGGTGATGGAATATGCCACTGAGCCACATAGAAACGACAAGCTGAGACGCCAGCAAGGCAAGTACTCAACGTTTGAGGATTCAGGAGTGTTTTCCGAGAAACGTATTAGGATTGATGTCATGGGATGCCACGTATGTTACAGGACATGCTCATACTGCTTTTCATTCTTCATTTATCCTGTTAAGCTATGGTCGAGCATGTCTTGAATTGAAAAAGGGGTGTTCCATTGCATTTTCCCAGAAAGTGGCTTAAAAGGTGTGATTTCTACCAATAACCAACACAAGGTGTAATCATCCACACAGACTTCAGCAATCCAGGAAAAGTTATTTTAAATTTAATCAAGAGGGGAAACGTAGAAACAGTGAAACGCTTAAACCAAAACCAGATGTCTGGTCAAATCAGATCATATCCATTAATTTTCTGTTCTTTATTTAAACCTAATTCTCGAGTGTAGAATTCATAAATTTCATTGGGACATAAACAAACATCTGGTGCAAACAGTGTTACAGGATGCATCACATACTTTCAGTCAGGATTAACTTTTAAATTCCCAGAACACCATGGACCCAACAGCGAGAAATGACTACTTAGTGCCTCAGTAATTGTGTTTTATATTTTCCTCTCAGATTTATTTTTGCAGTACTAGGTCATTTTCTCCTTCTTTCTGAAAGAGGGAGAAAGGGTGAGAGAAAGGGTGGAAAATAGAGTAATGGATAGGGAAGGCAGTCAAAACCACCTGAATTCAACATTACACACATCTAAGAATCATCCACTTCCACCCAGTTGGGACAGTGGTGTTGCTGACCTCAGAGGGTGCAGAGAGAGAGAGAAGGTGAATCCTGAAAAAATAATTTCTTGAAAATAAGAAGGTGGCAATATCTTTTAAATGTTCATGACAGCATTGTAGGTTTTCCTTGAGGAAGAGAATTTTATATTTGTTGGGTACACGCTTTTCATTTTATGGGGTTAATTGGGTGGTCTTCACTCCATACACGTAATCACTGGAACTTCACTATAAATACTCATATAAAAGGTAGTGACTGTTTCTTCCTGGATATGTGAGCCATACATTAAATGTGGAATAAGTTAACACATTTTGAGCCCTATGTGTATGAAAAACATGGATTTGTACTTTGTCATAATTCCTAGTTTCACCCACATAGAGAAAACCAGGTACAGTTAACACCCACTTATCTGGTGGAGAGAATTTCATCATGCAGAACACAGCCAAGCTCCATGGAGTAAAGAAGTGAAAATACCTTCCAACTCTGACATAGTTGTCAGTATCCCTCAAAACAGATGCACAAACTGGTGCATGTGAGATGCTCTGAGGAAGCAGCTAAGACTTTATGAATGTTGAATTCACACCCTGATCTAGTGGGTTTATTTCTCTGATTTCCAAGAGCAGATGATGTGTATTAAGTAAGAAGTCTGCAGGCCATGCAAGTTTGCATCGGCAGCGATAGCTCGAAGGTGTGGAAGAGAAAGAGCCACCCCATATTTCATGGCCATCCACCCTCACTGGATTTCAATCTGATTGATTTGGGTTTGTTTTAAAGTTTAAAATCAGGAAACATTCACTAGTATATTCAGGCTTTCAAACTAGTGCAAACGATGACCCCGCTTGATTTTATATTGTTTTAAGAAAGATGAATAATTTCCTTTGAAAATGGTTAAGTAAGATGGAATCTTTGGTTCTACAGAGGGTGGCTTTTAATTGTCATGATGGCTGAGTTATGTGTAGCAATGAAGCTCCCAACATTGCTGAATAAAGATTCCGCTTAAACTTTCAAACTTAGCAAATCAACTTTCAATATTTGCATAACAAGAATAATACCTACATCCTTTCATATTATGTACTAAGTGGTGAACTTAAAATATAATCAATTTTTATATGGATTTCATAAAATGTATAAAGTGTGATAAATGATCAGGTCATTAGTCATCCCTCACCTGTTGAATTTTCAGCATTGTTGTATATTGTAGTACTACAGTGACAGTGATACAAGATCAAAGTGATTCCTTCCTCTCTCTATACCACCCAACCCCACCTCCTCAGTATTGTGACAGTCATAGAGTACAGTGAGTAATTGACATTTTCAGTACAATAGCCCTCTTGGAAGTTTTCTAGATTCTAGATCTGGTAAACTGTAGAATTACAGCTTTGGGTTCTTCCCTGGTAGACCGAAGAGCTTCTATCAATCTGTGCTCATCATTTTTTACTCTTACTTGATTTTTTTTCTTCGTAAACAGTCTTAGATTCTCGAAGGCAGCAAGGACAAAATCAAAACAAGGGAAGTAATGTGTTATAATTTTAAAAACATGTTTGTTATGCTTATATTCTAGCAGTTTCTTGTCGAAGAAAATTTGGAAAATAGAATAATGGATAGGGAAGGCAGTCAAAACCACCTGAATTCAACACTACACACATCTAAGAATCATCCACTTCTACCCAGTTGGGACAGTGGTGTTGCTGACCTCAGGGGGTGCAGCCACCTCCTAATCTGTTTGTTTGGCATGGCCTTCCAGCCTCCTGCACCCCCGTGGGGATGCTCTGTGCATTCTTAAATAGTCCATCGGAACTTGTCTGCGGAGAGGGCCCCCTTTGGAATCGCCTTTAGAACCTGCTACCCTCAGCACTAGGGCGAAATAACTGGAAGCCATTCTGAGGCTTACTGGTGTACTCATCAGTCCTCTCTGGGCAGGCTCCCAGCATGACCAGTGTGGACCCATCATATTTGAAGAACGTGGCCTGGCACGTTTGCTGTCGTATTAGTTTCATAGCCATGGAGTCAAACCTCCGGGTTTTGGATCCATTCATTTTGCTTCTTGAAACTTGGGAAAACCTTGACTTATCATTCATGCTTCTAATTATAAAGTCTGTTAAAAGTCTCTTCAGTTTTTACAGTGAATTACTACTTTTTTTTTTTTTTTTTTAAGAAAAGTAGAAGTTTATTTTCAGAGACAGTGGGTGTGAGTTTCTAGGACTAAGTGGGGAAGGGGGAGCTATTTTTAAGGAAGAGCACTCACCCAGGAGCTCAGGAACCCGGAGCAGTGGACTGGGGAATGGCAGAAACAGGAGGGGCGCTGGGGTCAAGGTGACTGTTAATGCTATCTTGGGAGGAATTCCCTGAATTTTGTTCTAGATCTCTCTCTATGTGAGTCTGAGTGGGTCAGCTCATCTCCGCACAGCATTTCTCTGGCCAGGGCATAGATTTGCTGCCTTTGTGTAGGGGCTGTGGAGGCCTAACCCAGGCCAAGAAGGAGGGGAATATGCATTTAAGTTTAAAAAAAAAAATGGAAGCATGTGTACGTGCATATATATATCAGCCACAGATTCTAGCGAACCTTTCCATTCTTAAAAGCATCATGAGCATGGGAGAAATGAAACTAGTATTTGTATTACAATGTCTTTGTCGTCTAAATCTTGACAATATAATTTCATTTTTCAAACAAGTGTGTTCAAATTTGTTCCTCTTGGCTTTGTGGCTCCCTTCAGCCCTTCTCCTCTGGTCAGCCTATGTTTCAAGATAAGGAGCCGTGGTGTTCTTCTCTTGCTTTCCCGCTGGGTGTTGGTTGCAGTCAGTCACAGGCTCTAGCTTCTCAGGAAGGTGCAGGCTCTCCTTACTCAGTCATGCTTCTGTAGGACCTCACATAGCCTTATAACTAACCTTGAAGAGATCTTCCACAAGTTCTTAGGTTAAGTGTAGGTAGCGAGGGTGTAATCGTACAGCACCGATGCTTTGTGAATCAGAATGCTGCTTGAAAGTGTTCATTCGATACAGATTGGGCTCTTTTTTTTTTTTTTTTTTATCAGATCCACCTCATCTTTTCCCTGCCTTCCATCCTCCTGTACCAATTGATGCCAGACATCATGAGGGCCGTTACCATTACGATCCGTCTCCGATTCCTCCATTGCATATGTAAGTATTAACACTTTCCTCATTAATGAAATGAAACAAGATGCTGGCTTTTACCGTCTCAGGACTTTTTGTTAATGGCACATCCACTGGGCTTGGAAGATGTGATAGAAGTGTAAGATTTACTTTTGAAATATAGCAAGCCTGTCAGTTCGTGGATTCACTGAAGCAAATCCCTGCCGCTTCCTGAGGAATGCCTGTCACACTAGTTAACCGACAGATATTTCCTATATATTTTGCTGACGTGTGTTCTGTGGGCTATAAATACTAAATTAAAAAGTAAAAGCCTAATGGAAAGTTACCCTCAGAATATGTATTTGGTCGACATTAGGTTTGAAGTTTTTTTATGTTAAAATTTCTGTAACATGCAAGTCCTGTTCTAGGGATCACAGTGAATTCTAATGAAAATTTTATGGTAAATTTCATAGCCCCTATGTAAGTACACCAAAAGTCACTTGATTGATGGGAATGTCACCCAAACAAAATGGCAAATCTGATTGAGCACATGGTTTACAGAAAGACAGAAGGAAAGAATGCTGGTGATAACATACATTAGGAAAGGAAAAAAGAAAATCTCTTGGAAATAAATACCATCTTACTTGGTTTGGAGGAAGTAAAGGATGGTGGACTTGCAAAATAAAGTAGTATTCTTTTGTAGTACTGTCCAGGAAACTGTCATGTACTATAATAATTGGAGCCACTCTCTGGGATGGGCTGTCCCTTGCCAACAGCCTTGATATATACATTTAGTCAAATCTAATAATCACCCATTATTCTGAGACAGTAAAGTTAGAAAAGCACAAATAATACTTTGAAGAATAACGCTGGTTATTCAGATGGTAGATTGCATCTCCATGGCTATTAGTTACAGCTGTGTAATTACATATTATGCCAAAGAAAAATGAAGTTGTTTTAAAACAAGTCCTCCTCTGTGAACAGAATTAATTGATATTAACAATCCTAACTACATGCCCAAGTACACATATAATATTTTACCAACAGTTTTTTGGATCCATCTCCCATTACTGGATTGTAATTTCAGAGCAGATTTGCCTGGAGGTAAGTAATAAATCTGTGTTGCAGACTTCTATAAGCATTAAAGGAGAAGTGGGTATTTATAGAGAGAGAATGCAGAAACTTGTGACTTATTCTTTGACTTTTCACTGGAACACAAGTAAGTATTTACAGGGTTCTGAAGCCTGCTAAAAATACTCTCAAATAAAACCAAGAGACCAATTAAAAATTCCCTATACAAAGGGAAGGAAATTCCAAGTTCAGCCTGAAACATGACATGTAATTCACCCCGTTATACAGAGGTTTTATGGTACAGATGTGACCACATGCATCTCAGATGAGGCTCTGCCCCATGGTTCAGAGCATGCAGGGGCCAGATAGGCCTTGGAGACATTGATGGCTAATTCCTCCCAGACTGGAGCCTCTGTGATGTAGTTAATTTAAATCAGATTTTTCTATGGAATTTTGGAGTTCTTCATTCTTTCAGAAACGATGCTCTAGAGAAATCTTTTAAATGAGTTTATATGATAGGCTGAACTATTTCCTCTGCATTCATTATAGTTTTCTTATAATGAAATTCAAATATGAATTTATCAATACAAATTTCATGTCTTGGTTCTATGGCAGAATATAACAGCAAACTCTCCTGTAGCCCCTGCTATGCGTTCTGAGCCCTGCTTGCTGACCTGTGTTGGCCCATGATGATAACATCACAAGACAAGGCAGGTTGCATCTGGACCATCCTCATAGCGGGAGTTGGGGGAGTCACATTTCGGGTGTGACTGTTGAGTTGGGTTTTCTTTGGATTTTAGTTCTTCCTGCCTTTTGAGCCAAGCTTTGGATACTTCAGCAGCATCTGACTAAATTATTCTCTAGTAGCCTAAATGTATAATTATCAAAAAGATTCATAATGTAAAGCTGATAGATAATCCCGAGCCTCAAAGGAGAAGTCCTGGAAGGTTCCTAGAGGGAACATCATTGCTGTGGGCAAGAGAATGGTGAGCTTATAGGTTTGTGGCCTCCTGGGACTGCTTGGTTTTGGTGCGTCCTGGCAGGGCCCTGGGTGGACCCTCTGCTTGTGAAGTAGGCCCCAGGAAGCTGGGCATGTCATGCCCCTGGGTCTTTGTTATGTGACATTCTCTCTGCATTGGTCTCAGTGGCCTTCCCTCTCTGCATGGTGAACTCCTGCTTATAGTCATCCTCAAGGACTAATTCAAGTGCCATCCCAGAGACTGTTTTTATAGCATCTTATATGTAGCATTATTGTGGTGCTTCTCCTCTTGCTTGGTGATTTATTGTTAGCAGTCACTGCTTCCTGCTAGTTTTGTAGGCAGTGCCCTGCACTTGGTCAGGCACTTTGTAAAAGGTGCTCAGTGGACGCTCACATTGGCCCAGTCTGGGAGTCGGGGGAGGAACAGTCAGAGAGCTCCAATTCCTGTTCTTGTGTTGCCACTCACTTGTGCTGTGCACTCTGGCCACTGACATTTGCATGTGCTGGTTTCATTACATGGAGATGAAGCTATCTGCTGTACCCAGCTCTTCATAGCGCAGGGAGAGTTCAATGAAATAATGTTCATGTAAGCACTCTGAAAAGCACAGAGCTCTAAACAAATGCTGAGGGTTGGCATTCCAGGCACTTGGGGGCATGAAAAATACTGGGAGTTTCTATTCTGCCCTTGCTCAGTTATGAGTCCCTGGGTTGCTCTTGCACCTTCTGAGGTATGATGAGCAGACACCTGTGATCACCCTGAAAGTGGAGGCTAATCTAGGCAAATGTGACTTGGTTATAGAAATCTTAAAAGCACGTATTTGCTGAGGGGTAAATCAGTTACCTAGGAAAGTAAAATCACTTCATACAAAACTTGAATTCCAAACTGTTTGCTAGATATTTGTCTTAAAGAAAATGAGATCAAGTGAAGGAGTACTGTTTTTGCAATAAATATTTTAATTATAAGAAGACAAAGTTTGGAGATATTCTCATTATTTTGTATACACAATTGTTCTTCTGGTGCCAGCTTGAAAAATTAAATTACGAGTCTCTTAAAAACAAGGATTTGTGTTGATGGAAATGCAGACAGATCTCTATTTAGAAGAAGGGCGGGCGCTTCTGTAATTATGCTACCATATCCTATCATTAAAGATTCTATTGAATGAGGTTTATAAATTGCTCCTCTTTTTAGATAAACCACCCTATATTAAGGCATCAACGATATGGTGCAGAATTAAATTAAAATCTCATAAAATGAAATATGTTCCGTATTAGCTGTTTGACACTTAATTTGCCTCTGAATGAGTAGAGGAAATCACAAATTAACCTGCCTTTGTTTTTCCAACCATGGCTTATTAGGTGTTAGAACAACTGCAATTACAGCCTAATAATAACCACTATGCCTTATAAATATGTACGGAAATACGTCAGTTTGTATTAAAGAACCCAGTTTGTTAAATGGAATGTGTTTAGCTTGCCCTGCTTATCCTTACGGTGTTATCCACAGTTTATGGTTAGGCAGTGTAGAATGAGTATAGAAACTTGAATGAATTTAAATACAGCACTAGAAATAATATTATAATTTATTGGCACTTGGTTTCTTAACTCAAAATTATGAATTTAGACTCAGAACTTCTAAGTAGGATCTGGAATATAAATATTATCGCTCCCTGAGTTGTCACGTAAAGATCGTCTTGTAAAATGTGCAGTTCCTGCATTGCATTTGTTTAATTCAAGTAATTTGAAAATTAAGAAACACTGGATATGAGAAAACTTCCCATTTCTTCTGAAAGTTAGTCACTGAATTTACCAGGTCTTAGGCCCAGCGGACAACGGAAGTGTTGCTCTCTCTCCCACTCTCAAATCGTTTGAGAGACTTGTTAAGGTAAATCACAAGAAGTAGAATGTTTTAGAAAAAATATCAGAGTGAGTCTGCTTTATTACCGAGATTATTTTGTGTATTAATGAAAGAACCTGAGTCTCTACACACATAGTCGTATTTTGTGTATGTATTTTTACTTCTTGGTCTCCTCTGTGGTTCCTGCCTTGCATTGTTGACGTCAGGGCTGGTCCTTTCCTAACTCAAGGAGGCACTGTTGTAGTCTATGGGAACAAATGATGCCTGCTAAGATAAAAATAAGTACTAATTTTTAAAATTTCACTTGGAAATTCAGGCAGTTGGCATATTATCACCTAGTACCCCAGAATACATGGCATTGTCAAGTGACTACTTTCCACAGTAATAATGAAAGTACTTTCTCTCTTGCATTTTGAGTGTGCGTTTTTTGTTTCTTAGTGTTAGAACTCAATTAAGCATGCTTCCTTTTTAGAAGTAGACGTGTATTTGTGGAAACCCAAATTATAAAGTAGCTTTAAATTACATTTGATTTCATTCATTCTGGATTTTTCTTGGGAAAAAGTAATTTAGCCCTTACGTACAACCTTTCTGAGCCAAGGTTTTCTCATTTATGGACCAGTATGAATTGAATTTTGAACTGTCCTTCTGTTTCATACTGAGATCTGCAATTCATTTTCCAAAGCTGGGTCCTTGGTTACTAATCCATTGCTGTAATTAAGCCCCACCGATCTTCTTGCCCGTCGAACTGTGAGCTGCTCCTGCTTTGTGCCGTGGATGTGAACAGTACTGCACCCCAAGCCAGCTCACATAGAGGCTGTTGCATTTCACCATCCACTTTACTAATCTACTTTCGAAAACCAGCTTTTCTTCTTAGGGAAAATGAGCACTCATGTTCTGTTCTGTTCTGTCAGCTCTTTTTTTTTTTTCTTTGTTGAGCCAATGTGGCTCCTTCCAAGGCTGCCTGACACTCTCTGGAATTATTCCACCTAAGTAAGGAGAGCTGTTCTTCCCACTAAAAGTGGCCCACCTCCCTTCACCTCGGGGAGAGGACTCAGTACATGAAGATCATTAATATCAGCTATGAAATAGAGTGCACTGGAAATAGGTAAGGCCTCACCCCCGTAATTATGGCTGCCTGTTCGG